TCCAGATAATTACAAAGAACACAAGAAGTCTTCTCACCAGAGAACGGAGATTCACATTTGCCAACGCAATCAATGCACATTCCTATGATATCTTTTGTGTCAGTGAGAGCTGGCTCACACCCGATATGAAAAACTCTGAACTATTTTATCGAACTTTACAATTTTCTGAGCCGACCGTCAAACGAGAAATGGGAACTCGGCTCATGGAGGAGTTTTGATTGGGATAAGAAATAGTTATCACTTCGAACAAGTTTATTTTGCCTCTACTGATTACTTATTGTCATCCTCCTACGTATGTGTCTATTTCTCTCAGGGATTGCAAGTTGTTAGTGTGCTGTGTACAACCCGCCCAAGGACAGTCCCTACCGACTGTCGACTGATGAAGTCAAACACTTTTTGAGCACAGTATGCACCCTGGAATCATTCAATCATGTTCTCATCACTGGAGATTGGAACTTGCGTGAGATGGATTGTAGCCTCTTCTCTTCAACGGACGACTAGGAAGATGAAATAACCCGTCATATGGACTCACTGATGCTCCGCCAGCTAGTAACTGAACCACCCGTGTATCAACAACTCTGGATCTTCTACTCATCAAATCACCGCACCACACTGATGATGTCTTGATTGATGAATCATTTGAAAAATAATTTCCGCTCTTCGACCATAGACCAGTTAAATCAACCTGACTTTGCAGTGGAACTCCAACAGTGAATGAAAGGCGATTCAAAACTTACAGTTTCACAAACTGTGACTACGACGATGCAAAGAATATGATATTGGAAACACTTTTTAGCCCTAATTGCTACAGTAATATTAACAGGATGGTAGATGAATGGTACGCCTGGATCTTTACAATCATTTTAGTAAGAAATATGTTCTTGCTGAATAAATAGAGTCATAGATGTATAGTCTCGAAATACGGAATTGAACTACTTAATTTTCCACAAAGAGAATCTTGTGGAAATCTCTTCAATATCTCACTCTTAGGTTCTATTAAAGCTATCCAGAAAGTAGACAGAAAATTATGCGACAAATGAAACGAATCGTACTCGTCATGCTCATGCAATTCATAGGAGTTATATGGGTAATAAAACCAAGCGGTAGCTTCATGCGAAGCAATATTCATTCGTAACAAGCGACAATTCAGTAGATAAGCGTGGAACACTGATTCAGGCGCAGTATTTCTTTTGTGCCGGATGTAAGCCGAGCGAGCGTATCCTACTTGCCAGTACCTTGTTACGAAATGTCCCCTGTTAGGAAATTTCGCCCTACCCAGCTGTGCCTGCCTTAAGATGTTTTAGGTAGCACTACACTTGCGTCTCGTAAAGTAATTAAAGAAATTGATAGCTGCTTAACTTTTTGGGCAAATCGTTGGAGGGGCTTCTTTATATTAGCCTAATTATTGTGATAAACTTATCAAATAGTTTCAGATAGATGGAGCAGTCCGGGGCAGCGGTTGAGGCCCCCCTCTACTCTTCAGAAATTAAAATGGACTCGCAGAAAGGACGACGCAGGCTTGACGCACGGCCTATGGACTACTATCCAGCCATCGACGAGATGGTTGTGGTGACACCGAAGACGTCAATCGTCATCTCAACAAGATGAACAAGGACTCAATAATCTGCTGGCTCTGAGAAGCAATCTCCCAGATGAGAATTGGTCGTGAGAGAGACACAAGAAGTAAAGAGTTAGTTCTTGAAAGTTATCGGAGATTCTTTTGTCGAAAACAACGACCAAGTGCCAAGTCAAGAACTCCTGAATGGAGTTAAGTCAGCAGTCAAACAAGCTGCTACCAACTGTAGAGGGGAAAACTCGGGTGGAACCGCTTTTGCTGCTTCCGTACCAGCTCCATTGCGTCAACCAATGGAGTTCCATCAGCATCAAATCAGAATAAATGGTATCCCCGAAAATGACTCCAAAATCAGAACTGAAGTCTTGAAATTCCTTGGCGAGGACCCGACAATAACAGGCATGAAAAGACTGGGGCGACCCTCGCCCGACAACAACAGACCTAGAACTCTTCTGATTACATTCCATAACCCGAGGGATGTTAGAAAAGTCTTGGCTAAAGCTGCCATTCTGAAAGAGTACAAAGAACGAAAAGTTTTCATCTCGAAGTCTATGAACCGCGATGCACGACAAATTGAAGACCAACTTCTCAAGAAACGACGCGAGTTGATCAACAACAATGTCAACCGCCGAACAATAAAAATCAAGTTTCCAAGACTTTTTGTCGACGACAAAGTATTCATTATGAATGACGAAAACAACTGAGGAATGCTGACTAGAGAACTCTCAGATCCAGATACTTAAGATAAACACAAGAAGTCTTCTCACCTGACAACGGAGATTCACTTTTGCCCACGCAATCAATGCACATTCCTATGATATCTTATGTGTGAGTGAGAGCTGGTTCACACCCGATATGAAAAACTCTGAACTGTTTTATCGAACTTTACAATTTTCTGAGCCGACCCTCAAACGAGAAATGGGAACTCGGCTCATGGAGGAGTTTTGATTGGGATAAGAAATAGTTATCACTTCGAACAAGTTTATTTTGCCTCTACTGAATACTTATTGTCATCCTCCTACGTATGTGTCTGTTTCTCTCAGGGATTGCAAGTTGTTAGTGTGCTGTGTGTACAACCCGCCCAAGGACAGTCCCTACCGACTATCGGCTGATTAAGTCAAACACTTTTTGAGCACAGTATGCACCCTGGAATCATTCAATCATGTTCTCATCACTGGAGATTGGAACCTGCGTGAGACGGATGTAGCCTCTTCTCTTCAACGGACGACTACGAAGATCAAATAACCCGTCATATGGACTCACTGATGCTCCGTCAGCTAGTAACTGAACCAACCCGTGGATCAACCTATCTGGATCTTCTACTCATCAAATCACCGCACCACACTGATGATGTCTTGATTGATGAATCATTTGAAAAATCATTTCCGCTCTTCGACCATAGACCAGTTAAATCAACCTGGCTTTGCAGTGGAACTCCAACAGTGAATGAAAGGCGATCCAAAACTTACAGTCTCACAAACTGTGACTACGACGATGCAAAGAATATGATATTGGAAACACCTTTTGCCCTAATTGCTACAGTAATATTAACAAAATGGTAGATGAATGGTACGACTGGATCTTTACAATCATTGATGCCTCCGTGCCGGTCAGATCAAATCACCGTGCCCAACTCAGTCCTTGGGTAACTGGTCGCTCCTCCAACGTTCTGAAAAAGCTTAGTACGGCTGAGAAACACAAAAAGAGCTACTCTAAAATTCTATCTCTGAGAAACGAAGCTGCATTGTACCTGGATGAAGACAGAGTGGAATATGAAATCAAGCTTTTTTCTGGAAGAAACACTGGGTCAATTTTTGAATACATGAAGAGTTTGAAGAAAGACAGCCAATTACCTTCAGTCATCAGGTGGAATGAAGTGTCTGCCGACAGTAATCTCAACAAGATGAACAAGGACTCAATAATCTGCTGGCTCTGAGAAGCAATCTCCCAGATGAGAATTGGTCGTGAGAGAGACACAAGAAGTAAAGAGTTAGTTCTTGAAAGTTATCGGAGATTCTTTTGTCGAAAACAACGACCAAGTGCCAAGTCAAGAACTCCTGAATGGAGTTAAGTCAGCAGTCAAACAAGCTGCTACCAACTGTAGAGGGGAAAACTCGGGTGGAACCGCTTTTGCTGCTTCTGTACCAGCTCCATTGCGTCAACCAATGGAGTTCCATCAGCATCAAATCAGAATAAATGGTATCCCCGAAAATGACTCCAAAATCAGAACTGAAGTCTTGAAATTCCTTGGCGAGGACCCGACAATATTAGGCATGAAAAGACTGGGGCGACCCTCGCCCGACAACAACAGACCTAGAACTCTTCTGATTACATTCCATAACCCGAGGGATGTTAGAAAAGTCTTGGCTAAAGCTGCCATTCTGAAAGAGTACAAAGAACGAAAAGTTTTTATCTCGAAGTCTATGAACCGCGATGCACGACAAATTGAAGACCAACTTCTCAAGAAACGACGCGAGTTGATCAACAACAATGTCAACCGCCGAACAATAAAAATCAAGTTTCCAAGACTTTTTGTCGACGACAAAGTATTCATTATGAATGACGAAAACAACTGAGGAATGCTGACTAGAGAACTCTCAGATCCAGATACTTAAGATAAACACAAGAAGTCTTCTCACCTGACAACGGAGATTCACTTTTGCCCACGCAATCAATGCACATTCCTATGATATCTTATGTGTGAGTGAGAGCTGGTTCACACCCGATATGAAAAACTCTGAACTGTTTTATCGAACTTTACAATTTTCTGAGCCGACCCTCAAACGAGAAATGGGAACTCGGCTCATGGAGGAGTTTTGATTGGGATAAGAAATAGTTATCACTTCGAACAAGTTTATTTTGCCTCTACTGAATACTTATTGTCATCCTCCTACGTATGTGTCTGTTTCTCTCAGGGATTGCAAGTTGTTAGTGTGCTGTGTGTACAACCCGCCCAAGGACAGTCCCTACCGACTATCGGCTGATTAAGTCAAACACTTTTTGAGCACAGTATGCACCCTGGAATCATTCAATCATGTTCTCATCACTGGAGATTGGAACCTGCGTGAGACGGATGTAGCCTCTTCTCTTCAACGGACGACTACGAAGATCAAATAACCCGTCATATGGACTCACTGATGCTCCGTCAGCTAGTAACTGAACCAACCCGTGGATCAACACATCTGGATCTTCTACTCATCAAATCACCGCACCACACTGATGATGTCTTGATTGATGAATCATTTGAAAAATCATTTCCGCTCTTCGACCATAGACCAGTTAAATCAACCTGGCTTTGCAGTGGAACTCCAACAGTGAATGAAAGGCGATCCAAAACTTACAGTCTCACAAACTGTGACTACGACGATGCAAAGAATATGATATTGGAAACACCTTTTGCCCTAATTGCTACAGTAATATTAACAAAATGGTAGATGAATGGTACGACTGGATCTTTACAATCATTGATGCCTCCGTGCCGGTCAGATCAAATCACCGTGCCCAACTCAGTCCTTGGGTAACTGGTCGCTCCTCCAACGTTCTGAAAAAGCTTAGTACGGCTGAGAAACACAAAAAGAGCTACTCTAAAATTCTATCTCTGAGAAACGAAGCTGCATTGTACCTGGATGAAGACAGAGTGGAATATGAAATCAAGCTTTTTTCTGGAAGAAACACTGGGTCAATTTTTGAATACATGAAGAGTTTGAAGAAAGACAGCCAATTACCTTCAGTCATCAGGTGGAATGAAGTGTCTGCCGACAGTAATCTCCGCAAAGCAAATCTGTTTAATGACTACTTCATCAGTGTGTTCACACGCAACACTTTGGATGTACAACTGGGGGAGTCAGATTCCCAACTACCTGACGAAAGAGATGCCAGTGACTATCAAATCAATAGAGATGTAGTATATAGTGTTCTCTCTAATTTGGACATATCCAGGAGTCGCGGTGAAGACCAACTTCCACCAGTGATCTTGCGCAAACTAGCAATCGAGCTAACTCCTGCAGTTTTCAACGTGTTCCGGAACATTCACAGGTTGGACACGTTTCCCGAAAAAGTGGGAACTGGTTATTGTCAGTCCTATTTTCAAGAAAGGGACAAAAGCCGAGATTGCGAACTATCGCCCTGTACTCTTCTGAATATTGTTTCGAAGTGTTTTGAGAAAATTGTATTTTCGCAAATCGCCGACCATTTTATCAAGTATGTCAACTCAGCCCAGTTCGGTTTTCTGCCTCGTAAATCTGCCATTCATCAACTATTTCATTGCCTGAACTACATTTATGCATCAATATCCGAAAAAGACATTGCTTCGTGCCTAGTAATGTTCGACTTTTCTAAAGCTTTCGATAAACTCAGCCACACAGTTCTTCTGCAAAATGTCAGAAACATTGGGATAGAAGGCAAAGTTTTCAAGGTTCTAAGGAGATACCTTACAAACATCTCAGAGAGCTCGCATCAATGGTATTTTGTCGGCTGTTCGCTTAATGCTGAGTGGTGTTCCCCAGGGCTTACTGTTGGGTCCGATTTTTTTTTTGATTTTCATCGAAGACCTCCCTGATAAAATATTCAGTTCTGTTGCTTTTATCTTTGCTGACGACTTGAAAACTTTTTTCGACAAATCCCCGGACTTGTTCCATCTGTTTACCGCGGATCTTGATAGACTGAGTACTTGGTCTACCGAAAATCGGTTGCCTTTTAATATTTCAAAATGTTGTGTAATAGATTTTAAGAATTGTTACCCCTGCGACATTACCTTCTGCAATACAACTCTCGACTTAGTCTCATCAGTGAACGATCTCGGACAACAAATCAACATCACTTTGTCGTGGACCGAGCACATAAAGAAAAAGTTAACTAAAGCAAATGCAACATTCTTCCTGATACGCCGCAGTGTCAGTCATCTTCTCTCCCGGCAGGTGAAGCTCCACTTGTACAAAACATTTCTCATGCCTATGATTTTATATGCTTCTCAATGCTGGCCTCCGAACAAATCGGACTTGAAGCAAATAGAAACCTTCCTGAAACGAGTTGTCAGATGAATGCTCCCTGACACACCATACTGTTAAGCAATCAGTTCCCTTGGCATCTTACCCATTGCGTACTTAGCCGTTTTAATCGACTTTCTCACTCTTTCAAAAGTTGTCAGTGGACTATATGACTGTGATCTCACCAGTTGTTGTTCAAGCGCACCCAGTGGCTCACGACGCAATGGAACTCGTTTATTGTTTGATATCCCGATCATTAAGCTCGAGCGCCAGTGCAACATTTTTTGGTATAGAACGCCATGGAGAGCCAACAGAATAGCAAACATTATCGACATCAGAGCCTCACCTGACTTGAAGAATCGTCTACTCAAACTCATGTGGTAGTTTTTCCACGTCACTATGATAAACTCAGTCCATGAACTTGGACATTTTTGTGTTATTGCTCCAATTGCAGAGAGCGACACACTGATCTCTCGGGACTCAATTGACTTGATTTATCTATGGGACTAAGAGTCTCCTCATTTACGTTGTAAATATAAATCCAATATTATAATAGTAATAATTAAATATGTTCATTTTCTCTATTGGAATTCAATATTTCAAGACTTGTTTCCGCGATAGAATATAAACGATTAGCGCAATCGCTCAAATGGGTGTTAGTATTCAGGTATTACGTTCCTACGTTATTCAAGAAAACAAAAACACTGACATAACCCAAAAAATTGTCATTATAAAAAAAATTGACATCATAGAGCCCGAAGAATCACTAATAAACAATGTCAGCTCATATCTAGGCATTGAAGTAAGTGAGATAACATCTGTAACCAGGCTGGGGCGCTGCAAATCGGAATCAACTCTGCCAAAAGCTATCTTGGTTCAATTAAGAAACGAATACAAAGTAGGAAAACTCCTGGCTCGTGCTTCCATGTTGCAAAATTATGAAGACAACTACCATTAAAACAAATACAAAGTCTTCATCAGCAAATCCCTCATCAAAGAAGACCAAGAAAAAAAACTTCAAAAAAAACGCAGGAAACTGTTAACAAACGGAACTCCAGCAAACGACCAAGAAACCGAAGTGAAACTTCAAAATTGACAAACATCGTCGGTACAAAAAGAGTTCATTGAATTGTCTTTGCTACATTTCAACATCAGAAGCATGATGCACATCGACACTCGCAAAATTTTTGTTACTTATGCTGCCACAAGATTTCACAGAATTTTTATTTCAAATGGGTAACTTCATTCAGTGATGCTGAATTGTTCCTACCAATGTTCAACATGTACAGATCTGAACGATCCGCCAAACAAACAGGAGCATCTTAATGCGGAGGAGTATTAGTATGCATTACCAGTTCAATGCCTCATCCAATTTTATTGCCAGAGACTCTATCTTGCTACTGTTGCCTGCAAAGCAACCCGAAATTCGAAACTATCCGAATAATCACCTGCTATTTTCCTCACAAAAATAGCTCAAACTTCATCTTACCCAACACCTTCAAGCGCATTAAGAATATCATTGCAACAAGAACTGCGGACTCCACTATAGTATCATGCAAATTCAACCTCGAAACAATCGACTGGGACACACACTGATAGTCTGACCCTGACGAACAGATCTTCCTATGCATTATTGGCAAGCCAGCCTCCACCCCAAGTGATAAACTTTAGAAACACATTCAGCAACGTCCTTCATCTTATCATCACGACCAACCAAGTCAACTCTACTTCGCAGAGCTTTTTGGAAACATAATAGCCAATCTTTCCGAGCCCATTCCCATACTGTTAAACTTTTCTCTGCCCATTGAAGGAATAGCGAAAGAAAACTTACCTCTGCAAAAAAATACAAAGCTAATCGAAGGTGATTAGGACCACTTGAACAGCCACTTTATTACAAACAACGCGTTCTCAAGTGTATGTTGGTCAAATGTAGGAATCCTTCTACTGTTATCTAGAATCCTTCTACTTCTAATGGTACTACTGACTCAATGCCTATCTCATTCTTACAGTTCCTGTGAGAATAAGGCATCGCAGCTCTCTACCAGACTGGGTTACTTCTCCGAAATCGAATCTACTCAAAGGACTGAAGAAATTGTTTACTAAAACAGACACCAACTAAGCGAAGTTGAAAAACCTAAAAATATCTGTGCAAGGTGCGTTAGAAAATGACAAGCTAGCCTACGAGGCAAAACTACCTAACAGTAGGAATACTTCGCACCTGTTTAAGTACTCCCGTTAACTCAACAAAGCACACTAACCCTCTGCTCTAAGTTACGGTGACAAAATTGCCATGACGAACCAACAAAAGGTAGAACTGTTCTCGGAATTCTTCAGAAACATGTATATTCTATCATCTCCTCTTACATTCAGAAGAAAATCATTCTCCGTTGTTACCAATCATATCTGACTTCAACTGCTCCACACCAAATCAAAAGGCCCCGACAATTAACCGCCCCCGCTTTTCTGAACCTGTCATGTAACTTAAGCCACTCTCTGATCCAAATAATCTTTAAAATCAAGCAAACCGCTGTCTTCCCAAAAGAGTGGGTTATCACTGTTTTGGGAAGACAGCGGTTTGTTTGATTTCAATAGTATGACTTGTTTAACCTGCAAATAGTAGACCTTTTACTACTACTCTCAAAGTTTAAAATTTTTCTAAAGGAGCTTTTGGCGCCAATATAGAACAATTTTGAGGGGTCAGAATTTTCCAAAAAGTGTCTAAAAACGCCTTTTTTGGTCTATTTTTTCTAAATTTTGCCTTCTGCGCAAAAATTTGGCCAAAATAGGGACAAAACAGCGCTTTGGGAGAGCTCGAAAAATCAATTTTGTCGACCTAAAAAAAAGGTCGACAAAAAGTTCGTACATTTTTTGAAAGTCCGCCCCCCCCCTCGAGAAAATCCCAGATCCGCCCCTGCATGCACCTGTTAGATGTTTTGTGACTGTACCAACTGAAGCAGGCGCGGATCTAGGAATTTCTCGAGGGGGGTGCGGATTTTCAAAAAAATCTGAAAGTTTTGTCGACCTTTTTTTTTTGAAAAAATGCCAAAAAAGACGACGTTAATCACCAGTAATTGCCTGAGCGTTAAGGGATAACGGATTGCCTCTAGCTGTAAATGAATGACAGTTTAGGTGAATTGAACTCATCAATCAGTAAAATTAAGCATGCTTTGCCATTCGGCTCAGTGCTTCCGCAAGGCTCAGGACCTGTACAAGTATTGTCCCTATTATAGAAAGCCGAAGTTATTCTATTTGTCTGTGATATAGTTATAAATGGTAGTTCGATGGTTGAAGCACATTTCAGCTATCTCAACAAAGTAGATGCATTTCAATCATCTAGCATTGAATATTGGTGCGAAAACATAATCAATTGTTGTTAATCTGAAGTGTCCCCCACTCATCATCAAGAAAATTTTTTCTGAAAATTCAAGAAAAAAAAACAACGTAAATTAATGGAGTAAATGACTGATAACTGACTGTTGAAAATTCGAAGATCTTCAATCGTGGAATTTCGTGATTTTCATATGTTATTCATTTAAATGCAGTAAATTCTCAAATATTGTATCATTCGTAATTTTTTGGGTCTCAATGAAAATGAGCTGCTTTAGATGCTATGTATGCGCTAGTTTGCTTTTATTGGATATGATTTGGCCTAACATTCAGTGTGGAAAGTATCAGCTTTGAAATATTTCCTTGAATCATCAGCTCTCGAATTGTATCTTCTCTAATATTAGTTTATTCCAATGTTAAATGCTGCAGGTACAAGTCGAAGATGTCAATGAAGGCTAAAGACCAGTATGGACCTGTATTACACATGCCTGTTGATGACCCGAAGTCATCCAGGAAACAGCATGCTCCCGATGCAATCATCCATCCAGTAATGGGTGCACTGGATCCCAAATCCGGAAGGCCAGCATGTGAGTCACTTCATGTATTCGAATAGATCAGCGAGCTTTGCACTAGACCGTATGAGATATTTTTAAATCGTGCTGAATAAATATTTTCTGTGAACTAATTTGTCAGACTTTTTAAGCCTCAAAACTGGTACCTTCTGAACAAAACATGGACTCTGCAAATTCACTCAATTCTTCGCTAGTTCCGATTGGGACAAATCAATTGACATTACAGAACCCAGCAGCACCTCATGAGCAACAGACAAAATCAGCCCTGATGAAGAAGGCGCCAACTCTACCTAAACCCAAATGGCACCCGCCTTGGAAGCTATACAGAGTATGTAGATCATGAAATTCTCACGATGAATAAATTTCTGGTTAATTTGACTGATTTTTGGCTGCGTTTAGGTCATTAGTGGACATTTAGGCTGGGTGAGGTCAATTGCGGTTGACCCTACAAACGATTGGTTTTGCACTGGCAGTGCAGATAGAACTATCAAAGTAAGCTATCCATTTCCGAAACTATCGAGCAGTTTCTCTGCGAACCGTTTGTTCAAATCGGTGTAATTAAAATTACGATTCGATGGTTATTTTGTATAGATTTGGGATCTAGCTTCCGGCAAACTGCGACTGTCTTTAACGGGTCATATCAGTGCAGTAAGGGGTTTAGTAGTCAGTCCACGGCAGCCGTATTTATTCTCGTGTGGTGAAGACAAAATGGTGAAATGTTGGGATCTAGAGCAGAACAAAGCCACACGACACTACCACGGCCATCTAAGTGGAGTGTACTCTATCGACCTGCATCCGACTATCGATGTGTTGGCCACCTGTGGTCGTGATGCAGTCACACGTATCTGGGACATGAGAACGAAAGCATGTATCCACTCATTGACTGGCCATACTAACACAGTGTCCAGTGTGAAGTGTCAAGCGGCTGAGCCTCAAGTGATCACCGCTAGTCATGACTCGACTGTGAAGCTGTGGGATCTGGCGGCGGGCAAGTGCAGAGCCACTTTGACCAATCACAAGAAGAGTGTGAGAGGATTGGTGCTACATCCTAAATTGTAAGCAACTCACTGTAACTTGATTTTTAAAATTTACTAACTTAATTGGTCATTTGCTTCATAATAATAGTATTAAAGAAGGATATGAAAAGACATGGGAAGCAAAAAAGGTACCCATAGCGTTGAGATTATTACACCAGAGGAACTTGTGCTCTAATACGAGTTCGTTTTTTGTCATAACAAAGCGCCATTTATAAAATTTATCTTCAAGATTCGGAAGTTGAGATTTTTTCAAACATTAAGGCAGTAATTTTTTGTTTGCTTGAGTTCATTTACTTTTTTCCTACTTTCTGTTGGCTATGTATTGTAAATACCAGATCTGAACTTTGATCGCTGCTGTTCTGGACTGAAATATAAAAATATATTCCACCTGTGTTGATTCGTCCAGGTAAAAAGCAGTTTGAAATTGTAATTTAGGATAATTAGTGCGGGCTATTTACTAATTTCTGTTAACTGGGAAATCAGTGCTAATTGAATTGAGGCTATCTTGTTTCATTAATGCATCAAAAACGTATTGAAATGAATTTTGATTTTCAGATTTCCCAGCGGAACAAAAATAGACCAATCTATTTTTGACTAATTGGGCTACTTCTATCAAAAAGTGTCAAACATAAAAGATCATTGAAACTCAGATAGCTCAAATGATATATATTTTTCTCCGAGTTACGACAGATGGAAAATGTTCAAATTTAGGTCAATAATTGTTTTTGATTCAGTGTGTTGTTTGGTTTGATCTAGTCAATTGGGTTTTCAAGCGTCATCTAACCCTGGGATGCTATTCATGACTGGAATTGGAAGCACCCAAATGTATCTATGCCATGAACTTTCAGAATTAGGAATTTGTTGAAAAAAAGATGAAAGTCCATGGCATGGATACGTTTGAGTGCTTCCAACAGTCATGAATAGCATCCCAGAGTTAAATGACGCTTTAAAACCCAATCGATTAATTCAAACACAAACAACACTCTGAATCAAAAACAATAATTGATCTAAATTTGAACATTTTCCATCTGTCGTAACTCGGAGAAAAGTATATATCATTTGAGCTATCTGAATGTCAAGGATCTTTTATGTTTGACACTTTTTGATAGAAGTAGCCCAATTAGTCAAAAATGGACATCACTAACAATTGATAATATAATTGGTTTTTTTAAAACTAATATAAACTAAGTTGAAAGTAACAAATTAAGTTTTTTAATGCTTTTATAATTGATAGATAAGCACTAGATATCAACATTTGAAAACCTAGATTTTTAATCCCAAACATTTACTACCCACTTCACAGCTTCAGCAACAAAACACGACGATACAGAAGTTTTCAAGTTACTTATCTTTTTGGTCCTAAAAATTTCCTTATTCTAAGTAACTTGAAAACTTCTGTATCCTTGTGTTTTGTTGCTGAATTTGTGAGTTGGATAGTAAATGTTTTGAATAACAAACCTAAGGTTTTGTTTTGAATGACAAATCTAAGGTTTTCAAATGTTGATATCCAGTGTTTATCCATTATAAAAGCATGAAAAAACTTAATTTGTGTGTTTAAGTTTAGAATAGTTTTCAATTGAGGAGACAAAAATGTTGGAGCTTCGGAGTGTAGTGAATAAATCAGACGATCTTAAATAGCACATCTTTTGAATCATTTGGTTAATCAAAAAATGCTTCTTCCAGTTCTAATTCTTAAAATTCTGTTTTTGATTGCTTAAGTTCAGCTGGGAAAGTGTAAGGTCGATAAGTTTCAATTAGGTCCGGAAATCTTATGACTGTACAAGGTTTTGTTATTCTGTGTTTTTTTTATTTTGGAAATTAATATGATATTGGAAAAAAACGGCCATTTTTTCTGGCACCAATCTAAGTTAACCAGTCTAGACTGAAATTTTTAAAATTTGCTTCGTTCTAACTACTGGATAGGGTTAAAATTTAGTGTGAGAGTCGATTACAGAAAACTTCGGAAAACTCCGTTTTCAAGAAACAAAGAACGTAGTTCAGACTCTTATTAGGGTTGTAATTTTTTTAGTGCTCTCCAGGAAAAATGCTTTAACTTGTTCTGGCTTAAAATTGTTTTTTTTTTGCGGTTTGGCTGTTGATGTCTTGTTAAGTTCAGTTCATTTCCTTTCTTAAAAGGAAAGCAAACTCCCCTATAGAACAGCAAAAGTGTAAAGATCACGAAAAACGTGATCGACTTGTAGTTCGAAAGTGGAATTCATTTTTCAGATATCCCAGCAAAAAGAAAAGAATTTACTTTTTGATCCAGTTTCTTGAAATTGGGTTGGTTTTTACCAAAAAAGAGTCAATATTAAGTTTTTCTTGAAATTCAAAGAGCTATAAAGTCGCCTATTTTTTCTTTAAATTTCGACACTTGAGATTTTTTCGAAAGACAAGTCAGTATTTTCCTTTTCACTTGCGTTCCTTGGCTGTTTTCCAACTGACTCTTGACAAATTTTTAACTTTACTGCCAAATGTTTTACTTTGCTGTTTAGTCAATGAATCTATTGGATAGTGCAGTAGCAAATCTTTGCGCTGCATGCTGTTTTCAATTTGCGATGCAAGTCGAACATCGCAAGTGTATTGAGTATCGAAGTCTTGACGTTTTTTCAAAGAATTTTCCTTGAATACGAAAAAATAAGTTGCCGCCGTTGCTTTCTTCGTTGATTCTATGATTCGGGTAGTACCGAACCGCTATTTATATTTACGATTATAACGTGAACGTGCTAGCTGTAAGCTATTTACTTGTCAGTCACTGCTGTTTCGATATTTTTTTCAGAAACATTGAGAATAAAATTAAACAAGACTGCTCGTATCAGGGCGAAGCCCTGAAAGTTCCGACTGCCTTTTAAGGTCTATAGAGCATTAATAAGATGAAAAATTTCAATGTAATAAAAAAATTTTTTTTTTAATTTGAGAGTTTATGTAAAAACATCCCCCCACACGTCATATTAAGTACAAAAGGATGAATTTTGCTCCTTGTACCAAACCAATTATGGCGAATAAGCTTCTTTTAACCAATTTGGAACGATTTCTAAGACGGATTAACTCTCCACTTACGCGTTAAAAGCGCGAAATATATCGCGCGTTAATTGTCCCAAATTGGCCAAAATGCCAATCTTTAAACCCCCATAACTTAACGAAAAATAATCACAGGTAAAATATCTTTTCAAATTCAAGCTCAGGACAACAATAGCTTTCGAATGATATAAAAAAGTTCCGGCAAAAACGGCTAGTTAAAAAGTCGAAATTTGTCTGAAGAAAAAAACCACCCCGAGCACAAATATTCCGTTACTTTCGTATCGAAAGTCGGAACAATTACTTACTCGAAAAAAAATTTTAATGCTATAATTTTCTCGATATATCCTCCTTGTTTTAAGATTAACCCAATAAATTTATTTGAATCCAGCTATTGTTTCATTCCAGTTTCCTGATCTATCTGAGCTTATGCATATCTCTTGTTTTCCTTTCGAGGTTTGTAAATGAGATGAAATTGAGATGTGAGTTTTCGTAATGTTTGAGGCTTAGTTTCATATTCTTGCATCTTTGAAACTCAGTTTGCCCATTTTAGCTTTTGTGTGCAGCATCGCCTCTTTGCTTTCAATCACATCCACGTTTTCTTTTGAAAAGGTACACGCTTGGGAGAAAGACTGAAGTTTTTGTTGGTAGAATGAGAGCTCCGTTGGTCGAGACATAATTAAACTGCGCAAATATGCAAAACTGCGCTGAACTTAGCTCATTTTTTAAAAGCTCACTGGTGTTTCTGAAGTTCAAATTTTTCTATGTCGTCAAAAGTATTAAAATCTAATATTCAATTTAGTTGTTAAACGGCAATTATGGAAAAGGCATGATGAAAAATTGTTCTGTAGTTTTTCTTACTTTTGCGATTACTGGTGCATACTTGGAATTTCGGTTAACAAGTTTTATTCAAATCGTATACTGGAGTTTTTCCTTATAATGAGTCAACTTCAAATGCGAATGCTGCTTAGACGTAGTGAAGCTATAATTCAATAGCTTGACATGCTGCCGGTGATATAAACTAAGCTGAAAGTCTTACAGAATTTTAAAATTGAAAGTCTTACAGGTTTTTAATTATCGTCTAAATTTTTGGCTTCTTTTTTGGCCACGCGTTTTCGATTTTGTTCTCGACTTTTTGAGTTTGCTCGAATTTTTGTCCTTCATTTTCTTTTGCGATTTGGATACTGGAAATTGTTTTTTTTTAATTATGTTTGCAATAATTGTAATTAGCCTCGGGTACCTCTTTTGATAGTATTTGAATTATAAGCAAGTAAAATATTTAAATTGCTTTAAACCCCCCGGTCCCTCTAAATAACTCAGCCGCTACCGTTTTGTTGTTGCCAGTTTGGAATAAATAGATGAGTTTTTGGAATGAGATTTGATTGCATGTTGTTGTTGTCAGGTACTCTTTTGCGACAGCCTCCCCCGACAACATCAAAGTGTGGAAGTGTCCGGAGGGGGAGTTCCTGCAGAACTTCACTGGCCATAACTCAATAATCAACGACCTCGCTGTCAACCAGGACAATGTACTAGTCTCTGCAGGTAACTTCCCGATTCTTTTTGGAGTTTTTTTTTGGCGGATACCGATGAAAATCGGAGGTAGGAAATTGAGAAAACACTTTAATTTTTCCGCTCAGAGAAGTCTGAAAACAGAACAGAAGGTCTCATGACTATCTCTCAGGCTAATGTTCAATGGTTGTAAATTCGGTTTTATAAAAATCATTACCGGTATTCTAGCTTGAAACCATGAAATATTATGATTCATTGGTCTCTTCTCTGTGAATAATTCATTTCTAAATTCTATTCATCCGTTACAGAGTGGGAAATACATAACAGCATAATCATTCACTGACTGCATCAGGATAGTTAGAACTGGCTATTCAACCTAACAAGCAGCTACCCTCTGTGACAACTAATTATATAAATGGCCCGCGATTTTTCTTTGGGACGTTAGCGAACTGTAACTTCTTGCCTAGTTGCTTCTGGAGAGAAATTGCAGTGTTTCCTTGTAGTTATATGTTGTATAGCAGTGTTGCTTCTTAGTTTTGTGTACAAGTTTGAACATCAGTATTTCGGAGATCAATTAATTTAACACGTTCAGAATTGCTATGAACATCATGGGTTGGTATGATGATATAAGAAACGAATGATTCAAATGTTTGAAATTAACTATCTTACTTGGTTTTTTCGTAGAAAAAATTTTTGAATCTTTTACACAAGTATTGCTCACCTTTTTTTTCAAAAGCGAGAGATTTTATGATTGAGCCTTCTAAAGAAATTAAAAACGTAACAAAATTGTCTCGAGATTGTCATAAAGGTTACGAAGAAGCTTAATTACAAAGTATTTTAGAAATACTGCTTGTTGCGAACAGTTTTGTGGCTCCAAACTGAGACTGTGATGCAGATGTTGTGAAAGTGAAACTAGGTGGACATTGATTGTGTTTAGCGGACAATGGTAGCATGCACTTTTGGGACTGGACCAGTGGCTACTGTTTCCAGAGAGTGCAGGCACAAGTGCAGCCTGGCTCTCTGGACAGTGAGGCCGGCATCTATGCAGTCCAGTTCGACATGTCCGGCAGCAGACTCATCACAGCCGAGGCAGACAAGACCATCAAAGTGTACAAAGAGGACGACACTGCTGTGAGTAGACCAGTTGAATTACTTATCAAACACTCTAATTGGTGGCAAAGGGCGGATCATTCAAACTAATTAAAAGTGACAATCGAACAATTTGGAACAAGTTTTGTATACGTTTTTGAAAATTCTAGCGACCTGAGACATACATTGTCTGAAAAACTGAACTTTTCATGAAATTTTTGTATTTCTCTGTATTTAATAGTAAACTAAATTTAAGTTTCTTCTAATGAAAATTGGGTTAAACTTAGTCTTTGAAGCTAAAAAAAATGTGAAACGAAATTTTTCTTTAAAAATAGAAAAAACATCAGGCTTAAATACGTGAAGTAATACAGAAACAATTGTTTTGTTTGATACAATCTTTTATTTTTGATAGCCCTGCTGAGTTGCATGAAATGCTTGCATCTATTACAATAGGTGGCAGGTTACTTTCGACTAAACTCAGTCTTTACAAAGCAAAAAATGATCTCAGCAGGATTCGATCCCGGACCTTGGCGCCTCTGAAAAGTTTAAGTCGTTATGCTAACCAGTCTGGTGAACAAGAAAGAACGGAGTGTTTCTTAACCCACGCAAAATTCTTAATATTTAGCAATTTTATTATGAGCAAATTCACGAAAGGAGAAGAGAGTAAAAGACTAAACGTTTATATGATCAATGGGCAGACCAGTTGGTATAGTGTTAGTTTCATCTGCCACCTATTGTAACATATCACCCTTTTTGAACATCAGCACCACGGAAAAAGGGACTGAATCACTGTTTGAGTATGAAAGTAACTTGTTCACAAGTTCGTCGTTGTTTTGCTCGTTCCCTTGCCGTATTCATACATCGGTTTGGTAATAACAAGACTGCCCGTATGTCAGGGCAAAGCCCTGAATGTTCCGACTGTCCCTTAATTCATATCGAATAGTTTTTGGGAGACGAAAATATTGAAAGTCTATACATTTTGGATAATATCAAACATCAAGTTGTATGAAATTAATACGACCGATTCGCTTGCCTCAATCCAATTTGAAATGGTTTTGTTGTTCGGGGTAATTCGCCACGCATAAATAATCGGCGTTAGGCTTTTAACATTATGCGTAAAATCTTCAAAGAGCGCAGAATTTAGGCCAGAGCATGGCCGAATTGGCAATTTTCAAAATCCCAAAACTTAACAAAAAAATATTAGAGGTAAAGTATCTTTTTACAGTTGAACTCAGTGAGTCGATATCTTAAATGGGGTATAATTTTTTTATGTTATAAACTATTATTTCGATCGCTGAAAATTGACTACTTGATAAAAAACTACGCCAAGCATAAATATTCCGTTTACTTCGAAAGTCGGAACAATAACCTTGGTTTCATACTAATAGCGATAACGTGAAGTTTTGAGGGTTTGCATAAGAATGATCTTATTGCGGAGCTCAATTTTAGTATTAATGCTAGAAAATACTACTTAGTGTGATAAATTGTCTCGTGTGGAAATAACTGTACTGTAACAAACGTTTATTTAATTTAAAAAATTGAACTCAGAATGAAAAACCAGAAATATTATTCCTGGTATTGTGAAATATATTTCACTTGGAATATGCAAACCTTATTTAAATTTTTTGTTGCTCAAATAAAACAAAGTAAACAGCGTAGAACCCGAAAAGCGTTGGAACTTGAGCCACTTGTTTGAAGCCATGGCTGCATAAGTACTTGATTTGTACTAAAACTGGCGTGTATGTGTGTTATCTGTTTAGACCGAGGACAGCCTTCCAGTTGCGTGGAAACGAACGCTCAACATGAAGAAAGCATACTAGGAGAGAACTGCGTCCTTTGTTTCTGAAGATCAGAGATGTTCGCTATTTAGTCCAGCCAGGTGCTTGCGAACGGCGTGTGAAAGGATGCAACTAGCATCCGTCTTTTAAAGCCTATGAACTCTAAGCTGATCAATTATTTGGTATCATTGCATTTGTTGATTTCAGTTTTGCTCCTATTTTCTTGTTTTTTTTAGAGATTGAACTTAGAATTCAGTATCCCAGCAAAAAATTCAGATCTTGTATTCTCATTTGTTTTAATTGTGGAAGAAGGTAGTGAATACACTCAATTAGGTCGTATTAGGTTTTTCTCAGGAGTAAGTCTTAAACATTGATCACCCTCAAGTTTGATTTTGCGCGGTTCCATTCAATTTTGTTTGGTAAATTAAAGATCAATAACAAAAAATCAAATGTTACAAAAAGTTTGATTTCTCTTTCAGATATTTAGCAATTATTGATCGATCCAGTTAGCTCAAATTGAGCTTGATTTATCCAGAACTTTTCAATCAATAAAGCTTACTGAAGTTTAAAGAATTTTGAAGTCTCCAAATTTTTGAAAATACCATCGTTTTCGGTTCTCTTCTGAGAGTAGGAAATATACTATATTGTTTTTTTTTCAACATAAGTTAAATTGAATTAATCTTCGCTCACCAGTGTTACTTTGGGAATTCTTAGTTGTTTCCGATTAAGCTGTTATTAACTTTTTGAAAGTTGACGAACCTTGATTAATGTTCTCTTTTCACTCATATGCAATATTCTTATTTTATCATTTAAGGAGTTAGATCGAAATTTACAGATATCTAAAATCTGAAAAATTTTGGGGAGTGCGGTTTGTATGTAGATAGCCACGTGTTCATACTCGTCAGTTCGTAGACAAATTTTATATTAACCAATCAGAATCGAGATGAGAAATTGAAAGTACGGACTAAGTAATACGCGGTTGTCTATTTACTTCTATGAAGCCGTTTTCAAGTGTTTTTTTTTTTACAAATGATTTGTTCAATATATATCGAAACTTACTATCGGCAGATAATTTTATGCTCCCTTAAGCAAGGTTGTTTTTGAAATGTAAAATAAATTCCTTTTTATATAGTTACTGAGGTTTTTCTAATTTGCGCTTACGTAGCCCTTAAAAGTTTTGAGCAGTTCGTTAAAAAAACATCTGATTTCTGCTCAAGTTTTGAATGACAAACGAGTTAATAAATCTAATTATTTTTGGCTGCTATTTGTAAGTTTGTAAAAGCATTTTCAGATTAATTGTCAATTTAATCTGATATCATTTAATCTCAGTTTAATCATAGTCAATGCTTCCCCCCCCCCCCCATTTAAAATTTTCGACTTTCTTAGTTGTTTTAAATGTAATTTTAGCTAACTGCGCGATGTTACGATGTAAAGTATGAAAAACAAATTGTTCAGAGTAGTTAGTTTGTTCATCATGCCAATTTTAATTGCATCCTGACTTAAATAGGTTTTTCAAAGATTAATTTCCAATGGGGGAGTGCGATTTTTTCGTAAAATTAATTAAAGTAATTAATGTAGTAAAGACTCTGTCATAAGTCTTGCTGATTTCTTTTTTCAGGAAAAGTCTCTAATAACTACAGATCTGCATTCATACATATTGATGCATTTATGAATGCACTTAAGTATATATGCACTTTTTGAGTTCAATTGAAATTCATCTGCTGAATGTGCCGTTAATAGATTTCTCCAAATACGAACGTGGAAATGGAGCAAAAAAAAACGTGAACAATTTCTAGTGAACGGTTAATGTTATAAAAAAAAGCGTCAATCTCAAATTGTTCTAGGATTTCAAAAAGCTTAAAGGGCATCTACTTTTTCTTTGAAATTCGAAATCTGAGATTTTTTTTGAGAAAAACAGTGTTTTTTATGTTTACTTGCGTTCATTACTCTTTTCCAATCGTCGATTGACTATGTTTTTTGTAGAGGTTTTTTCCGGCCTTGCATCTGTTTAATCTGCGGATAAATCATGTGAAGTTGAAAAAAACTAGTTTTCAACGAATTGGTTTTTTGAAAAAAAAAAATTGAAGTCAATCCTCTCTGTTCTTACTGCTGAGCAAACGGTTATCCTTAATTTAAAATTATATAATAATTTCATCGCTTGCGAGTAACGAGCTCCATCAAGCTGGAATATTGAATAATTTGGTTTGAAGCATTTTGAATCAAATCAATTGATTTATTTTCCAATCAAATTTTCTCGGCGTATAGCTACCTCGGCAGGTTAGGCCTATATTTACCGACTATGCTTGAGAAAGCAACGATCCTAGGTTAGAATTCAACCAGGACATGTTTTCTTTTGAATGAAAGTGATCCGTTCCAAAATTATGGTCGGCTTATGCTTTGTGTCATTACGTTATGTCGCCATGGTTGCCAAATCACAAAAATTTCTTACCATGTAAATTTACTGAACACAAACTTTTATGCGTATCCGGCACTTAGAATAGAGGTGAAGAAAATGCAAAGTACGGCAAATTTCGCGGGGTTTACCCTAATTTGAGCCTATGGTTCGCGTGCTTATGGTTTATGTTTTGTCGGCTTAGTCGCTACTTCGTAGAATTGATTTTTATACGCCTTTTTAAATGAAATTGCTTTCAGAGTTTTGAATTACTCCTGCAATGTTCAATTTTACTAGCCTTGAGTTCGTATATTTCGCAGAGTATCCACAGGAGCTTCATTGACCATTTATCAAGTTCGTTACTCTTTTGAATTATTTATTTATGGTTTAATACGCAAGCAATTAGCACGCGGTTGCAAATCGGAGCTAATCAAATAACTCTATGCTTAGAACGACAAAAACTCAGGGTTCAAATCCGGTTCGGACCGGTTCTTTATGCCAACTTTTTTTTTGCTGGAAAACAAATCAATTGCAGGCATATCGTTGTCTGGTTAATTCTGTCAAACAAATTGCATCTGGACAAAATATTTTTTTGATACATAGAATTCTTGCTACCATTGTTTTTTACAAATGAAACATTTATCACTGTGAGTAGTAGATGTTGAGGCTGATCAGGAGGCATGGCTGACTCCATGTATTAAGATACGTTATCGATTTCCGGTCAGATTTCCTGTATTAATGTTAGGTTTAGAGTCTACAATGTATTTAGAAATGGAATACCTATGGTAACGTTTCATGGTTTGTGTGATGGTAAGAGAATGGTAAGAAAAACGAATTTTTTTTGGATTTTAAAATGTCAAAATTTGTTCCCAAAAATTTCGGGCGCGTTATCTAATTGGTGGATATGCTAGTTGTATTAAGTGTAGCGTTTTACATGGTGTTTTAACTGCTTTTATGCTCTATGCTGAAACCCACTGAAACTACGAAAAAATTCAAGTTTTTGCAAAAAAATTGCAAAAAGTTCAAAAAGTTTTAATTTTTTGGAAGGAATTGCAGAATTCTCAGGTTTTGGTTCAATTTTTTGTCGCATTCGATATAAATGTAAAAAATTTATACATGTAGAGTTTAAAATTAGTCCCATGTATTTTAATTGGAATCATGTTGAGATAATGATACAAAATTTTGAATAAAAATATAGATTTTTCCACAATTTTCAAGTTTTATTCTTCCAAAATATGTCGGAGTTGAGCTAACTTCAATAAAACTATCCTCAGCTCAACTGAATTTTTGTATAAACTTACCTAATAATCCAAATGATAACAAATTTTTCATTAGTTGACACTTTTTTGTTGGATTTTTTCTCAAGATGTAATTTATAAGCTAAATTTTAATAAAATTGTCTTTAAACGCCTAATGAATTGAATTGAGTTTCTATCGCAAATTAGTGTTTTCTCAGTTTCTGGTTCATCTACTATCTTCCAATTTAATCCAATTTGACAAAAAAATTTCTGAAAAATTGAATTTTAGATGGAAAATGTATAATTTCAACGAACGTTCAATAATCTGAAGCAAAGTTAATAGCATAATACCTTTGTTAAAAATCTTCAAATGGTTTTCTCAACCTGATAACTTTATAATGTTGTTTGAACTCTGAATATCTACATTGAAGTAATTTTTTTGTTGAGAAATATATATCATTATAATGAGAATTTCAAAGGTTAGCAAAACATACATTTTTTCGTCTTTTCTAGGTCAGTTATTATTATTTATTTTTTTCTTAAATTGTCAAAAAAACAGTAGAAAACCATAATTCTTAAATAATTAACCCCCATTATCTGTTTCAAAACGCTCTACTCTATGATCACTTTTACAAGCACTAAACAAGGAAAACTTACAAATAGTAACTAGGCAAAAACCTTTCAATTAGTTGATGTTTTATAAAAATCCATTTTTTTAACATTTTTTAAAGGATTATGTAACCACTCTTTAGCGTATGTTATGTAGCAGCATTATGAAAAGTCATGTTATGAAAACGAAAAAATAAAAGTTTTTGCTAATCTTTGAAATTCTCAAGATAATGATATATATGTTTCTCAACAAAAAATTTACTTCAGTGTAGAAATTCACAGTTGAAAACACATTATAAAGTTATCAGGTCGTGAAATTCAATTGAAGATTTTTAACAAAGGATTTATGCTATTAACTTTGCTTCGGATTATGGAACGTTCGTTGAAATTATACAATTTTCCATCTAAAATTCAGTTTTCTAGTTTTTTTTTCAAATTTGATTAAGTTGGAAGATAGTAGATGAAGCAGAAACTGAGAAAATACTAAATTGAGATAGAAACTCAATTTAATTCGTTAGGAGTTTAAAGAACATTTTATTAAAATTTAGCTTATAAATTACATCTTGAGCAAAATCCAACATAGAAGTGTAGTTTAATGAAAAATTTGTTATCATTTGAAATATTAGGTAAGTTTGTATGAAAACTGAGATGCTCTGAGGATATTTTTTTTTAAAGTAAACTCAACTCCGACATATTTTGGAAGATGATACTTGAAGCATAAGGCAAAAAGTTTGCTTTCAAGATCTACATTCATTCTTTTGAATAAAAAGTTTATGTAGACAGATTTTACGAGAGAGTAATTTGGAGCTTGCTGAAAATTTCTAAACAAACTGATATTTTAGCAGAACCAGATGTGAATTAAATTAACGTTAACTTGAATAGTTTCAATTAAAGGCACAGTAAATATTTTGTTCTGGTTAGCTTCAATTAGAAAATTAGGTAGATCTAGAGTTTTTTGTTTGATAAATTTCGCAAACTTTTTCAATTTATACAGTTTGAACCTTCATTTCCTTTTCTAATTAGGTTTTCTTAAGAAGTGTTCTTTAAAAAGTTTTTAGATGCTGCAGAAGCTAGGAATTAAATTCCCATGCGTATTTCTACTGCGAAGGGTTTTCATATTATAACCAATAGAGCTGCTCCTAATTTTTTCTAAAATCTTAAATTTAAAAAACACCTTTTTTTTACATGTGCTTTTGAATGCTTCAATTAGCACTGATTTTTTCTTACTTAGACATTTTTGAGAATAATTCCAACAAAACTCAAGAATACAAAGCGATTTAAAAACTATTTTGCAAGAAAAGTGATTTTTAATGATCCCAAAAGTTGTATTTCTGCTTAAATGGTTTTGTTTTCGCAACTGAAAAACGTAAATTTAAGGAAAACATGTAAAGTTTACATAGTAAGAGTTAAACGTTATCAGTTCTACTTTCATCTCTGGTAGTAAATTGTTCGTTCAATTGATACTATTTTCCTTTCAAAATCACCACTTCTCACTAAATTTCCTTGCAAAGTGAGTACTATGGCAAAAACATGTATTAGGCAGAAAGTAGGAAAAACATTCACACATAGAACAATTCTACGGAAAAATCATGAAAATTATGTTGTAGACGCAATAGAGAGATAATCATCAGTTTTGAAAAAGATTTGAATTATGAAATTCATCCAATATCCAATACACTTTTAGGATAAAACTGACCCCATTTGTAGTTAATTTGAGCTGTAAAATGTTCAGTTTTTTCTGAAATTTATTATTATGAATGTGAAACTTTTCTCAGAAGTTGTAATTTTTGTACAAAGTTGGGTAAATCATTGAGAAAATAATTGGAGGAGTTGAATCATGTAATTTGATCTAAAAATTTCTGTGAATATTGCTCTTATTGTTCATTTGAAATGAGATTCTTAGATAAGTTTTCCCTAACTGGATCAAAAACCAGTTAATTACGCAAATAAAAGGTTGAAAGTTGTAAATTTTGAATAGATTTGATTAATTTTACTTTCTCGAAAATTAGGATTGTTTTCACTATTTTCCCGAAAAATCGGACGTTTCAATTTTGATTCACCTAATATGAGCTTTATATATTCATGGCATTGTATAACCCGCGCTTTAGCTCAAATTTCGGGTAAACTTTACAGTATTTCAATATTTTACGGAAAAAAATGTGGAAAAATCCATATTTTTATTCAAAACTTTGTATCATTGTCTCAAAATGATTCCATTTAAATCACAATTTGAGCTTGGTTTCAAAATCTGCACGTAAGATGAGAATCATCAAAAAAATAGCCACAATCTTGAAATTTTGTGCAATTTTTCCCAAAATTTTTTTTTTTTTTCGAAGTTTCTGTATGTTTGAAGCCATTATGAACTTTCCCTCGATATACCATGTACGAGTGGAGTTTTTGTAGCTCTTTTTGCCCATTTTCTTTTTCTTGTCGCAAAAAAGCAATGATTAGAGCTTTCTTATGCATTTGTACACTTGCCACACTCAATTCATTTTAAATCAAGAGTGTTAACTGATTGTAAAATTTTTGAGAAGAGAATTCTATTTTCCCCCTTTTTCGAAAATTCTATTGCCTGGCTGCAGTTTTACGGATTAGATAATATGAATAGTTTGTGAATTAGAAATTGGTCGGACCAATTCTGCTCTTAACTTATTCTGAGTTGTTTTTGTAAAATACGTCGTTGGTTTACACTGTCATTTTGCTTACGCCTAAACACTGGCATATTTTATATCACAAGTGTTGCGAAGCTCTGCTTCGTCTCTGTGTTTATAACTCAGTTCACTGAACAGTTCTGGAACCCAAAAGAGAAGGAAATGGTTAATTATTTGCACAGGTATTATCCGAGTACACCTTAAAATTTTAATATCAACTAAAACTACTGCACATTAGAATTTAATAGCTTTTGTATAATGTCCATGTACATAAACTGTTGTTTCAATGGAAGATTTTGAAAATACCAGCTTTATGGAAAAAAAATTCGTCGACTGAAAGCTTCCATTCTCCATCACGGAAAACCACATGTTTCGCCCAACCAACTTGAATATCTTCCTCAACTAAACGGTTCAAAAGTGTTTCCTCTTCAATGTGTTTATTTTGTTCATTGTTGATAGCTGCCTCAGCTGACTCCTTCTCTTTGCTAAACACTTTGATCAGAATATCATAACACGCAGAATTGAAGGGATCCATAAATATACCGTTTGTAGAAAAAATGGCAGCGTCCAAGTGAAATAGTCTGTGGTGAGGTGCAGTTGATTGCTCTACACAATAAACTGCATATTCAGCACACTTGTTGGCTATTTGTGCCCGTTTCTTTGCCAATTCAGATATTGTCTCGGTGTTAATCTTATTTCTATACTCATTCTTGAGTATATATATGTGTGCATTTTTTCGTCTGATTGTTTTTTCCATGTTGGAAAGTTTCCTGACTGCCTCCCTCTTTTCGGCAGCAGTCTAAAAATAAACTCAATTGTAGTTCATTTGCAAATTGTTAAGGATGAGGGTTTACAATTTCAAACAAGAGTACTCGTATATCAGGGCAAAGCCCTGAATGTTCCGACTGCCCCTTAATGCAGATCGAATAGTTTTTGGAAAAAGAAAATATTGAAAAATTTTAGACAATACAAAAGATTAAGTGTCAAAGTTTATACCACCGATTAGCTAGCCTCAATTCAATTTGGAACGACTTTGCTTTGCGGGATAAATAACCACGCATAAATAAAACGCGTTACGCTGTCATGATTATGGATAAAATCTAAAAAGTGCACATAAAGTAGCCCAGAGTATGGCCAAATTGGCAATTTTCAAACTCCTAAAACTTTGCAAAAAATGATTGGAGGTAAAATCTTTTTAAATTTGATGTTAGGGAGTCGATATCTTCTATGGGGTATAATTTTTTTTGCAAAATCACTTATTTCGAGCGACAAAAAACAACTGAATAAAAAACCACACCAAGCTGAAATTTTCCGTTTTGTCGAAAGTCGGAACAAAAAACTTCATGTTTTTCTCTAAGATAAGTAGCCAAACCGCATGCTTACATACGTGTTTCGGACCTACTTAAGAATTTCCACTCCTATAAATAAATACAGTAAATTAGCACTGAGCTTTCTATTGTGAATTTTAATTTTGCTGCATTCTGATTGGTCGAAAAATCGACCATTTTGATCTACATCTACTTAACAAGGTATCCCAACAACTCGCATCCAAAGACAACTTGAAAAATTTAAGGAAAGCGACAACTCGCAAGTTTTTGAAGCTTTTGAAACTTTATAATCTCGGTTTAAGGTCGCCGGTGGTCGCCTTTTTTTGAAAGGGGTGGAAATTGTTTAGTAGTTCCCATGTTTCCTTATAACCCATGTTAAGTAGACACATATGGTGGCTCCTAAAGTTAGCCAAAATTCAAAAAAAAACATTAACTGATATCAGCCTATGTTGAATTTTGAGCGCAAACAAGGGAACTTAGTGTTTGAAACCATTGAAACGCTTAACTAGAAGCCTTTAGAGTCGAGATTGCGAGAAAGAACCAAAAACATACCCGTGCTTCGACTGTTAGCTTAATGGCCTGAATGAATTTGATTCTGTTAAAGTCTCCCATGCTAAGCCCAACAAATTCTGCTCTTCCCATGTCTAAACGATCTTTGACAACGGTCTGGTGATGGTAACGTTCTGTAGTCTCAGTCTGGTTACTGTCAAAGCTAATGTTTGCGACCTGCAGTTTGTTAATTGCAGCTGTACACATTCCGATAATTTGATTATAACCCATGAGGGGTTTTGGATTAAACCAAACAGAACAACTTGCGTGTAGCAAAGATAGAAATGATTGTAAATATCGACCGCAATCGTCATCTTGCATTTGATTAAACATAAGGTCGCGATGGTTGGTTATCTTAAGGAGCAGTTCAGACGCATATTTCCTACAAGCCACTGCTTGTTCCCTCCTTCTCTCTGGGTCTCCTTGTTTTGATCTTATATGTTCACAATACTCTCGAAAAACTACATCGAACGCTGCTGGGTAAAGTCCGAACAACGCGAGAAAGGTAACTGCATCGGTATTTCTGACGTTTTCACATGCTGATATCAATTCTCTGAGCTCTTCTCTTTTGTAGTTCTCGGCATTCGCAATTAGCGTTGATTCATCATAATGATTCATCACTGGCAACCGAGTGTTGTAATTTGTCCCTGTCTGATCATTCAGGCCTTTGCAGAAGTGGCTTATGTCAATCAATGAACTTGTAAGGCAATCCAGTCTTAGAACCATTGAACGTTTGAGAGGTAGGTAAAGTGCAGATTGAAGAGATAGCTGCGCAAAAGCCGTTTTGTCGATGCTATTCCCAAGAACAACAAAAACAACCGAAATATCTTGTTGGCGGTACCACTCTAGCGCTGCTTGTGAACAACCCTTAGCTAGACTTGAGAAACATACGATAGTAATTCCATCTCCGCCGAATGTGTACTTTTTCATGTCTTTCGCGCAGCTCCAAGTTAGTTCTTCTGCTGTCAATTCGGTCTCCTTTAAATTATCGATTTTCGAAGCTTTTCCAATAAGCACAGCGATACTGTTTTTTTTGCAGCAAATTCTCAACAAAGATGTGATGTAATTCGATAGATGATTTTTTGATAGATGAAAATCTGTTATTCTGCTGCAATAATGTGAGGCCTTCCATTTGATAAAGAAACACAAAATTCAAGGGTTTGCTGAGACTTAATTAAGTGATTCCTGTTCATGATTGAACAATCTGATTGCGATACCCTACTACCTCTTACCTATCTGGCTTTGTCAGTTCCATTTGCTTTTCTGTACCCGTAGATAACACAGGATATTTCTACTAAATATAGAGTGATTGATTACTATCTTCGGCAAATCAAAAGACCCGGGTTGACAAAAAATGCTTGTCATACAATTTTCATTTATGAAAAAATGCTTACCATTTTCTTTCATACACTTTCATAGAGTAAAAGTGTATGAAAGTAGCAAAATAAGCATTTTTTCCATACTATGAAATTGTATGATAAGCGTTTTTTCCATACTTTGAAAATACAAAAAAAAAATTTGTTTTGAAATTTTATGTTTCATCCGAAACACTAACCACGGATTTTTTGTCATAAGAAAACTCATAGTGTAACTGGCAGCTACCACGCAGCTAAACTGCATTTGGTGATTTTAGCCATTTAAGTTTATTTTTTCTATGACAAAATGATTATCGTATAATTTTCCTAAAAAAAAACTGTATGATAAGCTTTTTTAAATCAATTTTTTAATGACCAGAAAGCTTCCTAAAAGGCAAAAAGACCAAAAATGTTCATTAAAAATTTTAAAAACATTTCTGAAATTTTGTATGAGTTTTGTATGCTAATCATTTTTTCCATAGACTTCATATATGAAACTGTATTTTTCTTCTATGGACAAAGAGAGAGAACTTGAGATAACGCGTGCACATAGAGCTCATATTGGGGCGCCTGCGAGTTTTATATAGTTTGTAAAAAATTATCGGACAACGTCTGAATTTTTGAATTAGACCTTGAGAGCGGTGAAACAGCATCGAAATGTCAAGGTTGCATTAAACTGTGGCAAGATTAACTCAACAGAACTATACTTTTTTGTAGATGGCCGTTTTTTATGCCTAAACTCAAGACAAAACTTGAAAAAAAATTTCATTGAAAAACAATTTTCCATCCAATTTTCAGAAAAAAGACTGGGAGCCAACAAACATGGAAAGGCAAAAGTTGAAAGAGCCATTTTAATTCATTTTAGGCATGAAAGTCAAAGTTACTTCAAAATTTTGAAACATTGTCCGATAAATCTTTTGCAAACTATATATGAAAAAAAATTATCAGTTTAGCGTGAAAAATATTATTCAAGGGGCTATCGAGCCCGGCGTTTGAAAAGGCTTATATCACATTGTCTAAGATCTATCCAGAGCCACCAAAAAATTTTCTTAAGTCTGGAATTTTGTAGAACTTTTTTTGAAAGAAGTGCGAAACTTTTTCAATAAGATTAACTCGATTCAACTTAAAGCCTAGAAATTACCTGCTAACGTTTTATATGTTTACAGAATCATTTCAACTTGAAACAGACTAACTAAAAGCAGCAAACGCCATGCTTAGGAGAATTGACGCTTTTTCGAACCGAGACGCGCAATAATTTGACTTGAAATACTTCAAAGTTTTTTTGCTCGAATAATTTGCTACGAAAAACTAAATTTCTTTGCAAAACAATTCAGTCTCCAAAAATTCTGAACATTTCAAAGTTAAACTGCTCGCATAGTTTGCTTAGGAAAACTTTAACTTCTCTCAAAAAGGTTCAGTCAATAAAACAACTTGAATGAGGTTTTGTGAAAAGATTTACATCTCGGAATAACTTGCAGCGTTTTATCAGTTGAGAGGCTTCAACTAAAAAACCTAGATTTTTTGCCAATCGACTCGAGTAAATAGTTTGAAAGGCCACGCTTTCATCGCTTAAAACAGTTGCAGAGAAACAATAAGTTTTGTTGGGATTTGCGTCACTTTTTGAAATAACTGAAAAAAATTTCATCGCTTCAATTATTTGCTTAGGAAAAGTGAATTGCTTGCAATGTTTGTGAAAACATTAATTTTTCGCAAACTGGCTTTCTCAATGAAATAACATGAATTGTATTAATAATAACTAATCCATAAATTCGTCGCTTGTACAGCTTGCTTAAGTTAACCGTAACTTCTCGCAAAACAGTTTGGTCTAATGAAAATCCTGAAAAGTTCCAAAAAAAATCAACGCTTGATCTGCTTACTAAAGCTAAAGAAAACTTGTTTTCCTTGCAAACTAATTCTTAAATGGCGTCTCTGAAAAAAAAAAATTTTTCCAACCAGTTAGCTTATTTTAATACAAAATTTCTTAAAAGTTCTACTGCCCAAAAAACTTCAAACATTTTTAATTTGATTGTTCTATTGGATAAAGTGAATCAATCATTTAGTTATTTCATCGCTTAAATAGCTTGCTCAAGAAAACTAAATTTTCGCAAATCTTTTCGGCCCTACACAAAAACTCAATATGTTTCAAAAAATAATTGCTTATATAGCTTGCTTTAAGAAACCATACCCTGTCGCGATACGGTTCGCTCTATGAAATAAATTAAAATAATTCAAAGTTTCGCCGATTCATTTTCTTGCAAAGGAAAACCCATTTTTGTTGCGAAATGATTTGCTCTTTGAAACTAATTGAAACATTTTTTTTTGCAACACGGCTCGCATTTCGGAAAATCCTGAAACGTTTCAACGCTCGAATGAGTTCAATAGAAAAATTTAAATTTATTGCAAACCGATTAGCTTAATTAGCTTAAAATTGCCTAAAATTTTCATTGCTTGAATAGCTTGCCAAGAAGAACAAGATTTTTTTTTGCGAAACGATGCGCTCTTTGAACAACATGAAATTTTTTTCAAAGTTTCATAATTTAAATCGCTTGTTTATAAAATTTAATGTTTTTATGCAATTTTTTTTTTGCTCTCATGAAGGGTTTGCTCAAAAAATTAATTTGTCACTATACGGTTTAGTCTATGAAACATTTCAATTTGATGTTATACAGCTCAATTTGTCGCAAACTGACTCGCTCTTTGGCAGAAATTGAAATGTTTTTTTTTAGCAAAACGGTTCAGTTTGCGAAAAAATGAATCGTTTCAATGCTTGAATGGCTTCAAGCGAAGAAACTATTTTTTTTCTTCAATCGACTAGTTTAAATAACTTGATTTTTTTTAAATTTTCATTGCTTGAACAGCTTGGCAAGTAGAATTATTTTTTTGCGGATTGATGCAACCTTTGAACAACATGAAATTTTTCTAAAAAGTTTCATTGTTCAAATTGCTTGCTTATATAAATTTTAATGTTTTTAATTTTTGTTTGCTCTCATGAGGAGCTTGCCTCAAAAAATGGAATTTAGTCTATGAAACGGTTTAGTCTATGAAAAAACTTCTTAATTTTTATACTTTCTTAGCTTAATTTGCTGGCTAAGGATCTTTTTTTTGTAGCAAACTGATTCGCTAACTGAAGAAAAAACGAAATGTTTTTTTTGGCCAATTGTTTGAATTTTCCGGAAAAACTTGATTTGTTTCAATGCTCGAACAGCTTCTAAACATAATTTTCTTGTTTTTTCAATCAATTAGCTTATTTAAATTGAATTTTTTTTATAAAAGTTTCCTTGCTTGAATAGCCTGCCAAAAAACACTCATATTTTACGAAATGATTTGACCTTTGAACAACATGAAACTTTAAATTAAAAGTTTCTTCGCTTGAATCGCTTGCTTAAACAAATTTTAATTTATAGCAAACTTTTTTGGTCTGCGCAAAAACTCGAAAAACTTGAGGAGCTTACTTAAAGAAAACGTAGTTTGTCGCTATATGATTTAGTCTGTGAGAAAACTTCAAACTTTTTAAAGTATCACAGCCTAGCTTGCTGGCTGCGGAGAGATTTTTATGTCGCAATACGATTCCCTATTTGAAAAAAAGTTTAAATATTGTTGTTAGGAAGACGGTTCATTTTTCAAAACAACAGGAAATATTTCAACGAATCAGTGGCTCCAATAGAAAAAACACAAATTTTTCAGCAACAATTTATTCCAATTAAATTGAAATTTTCTAGAAGTTTCTTTTCTTGAATGGCCTGCCAAGAATAACTAAGAGTTCTCGCGAACTTATTCATTCGATTGAAAAACTGGACATAAATATATCATGACTTCTTTGCTTGAAAAGCTCCCATAAAAAACTGCAGTATATTGCAAGTCTTTTTGGTTTACCAGTAATTTGAAAAGTTTCAAAAAATATTCATTTCAATAGCATGCCAGAAGAAACACTTACTTGTTGCTATACGGTTCGGTCTATCAAAACACCTGATATAATTCAACAAAATTTCACCACTTATTTGCTTGAAAAGAATTTTTTTGTCACAAACTGTTACGTTTTTCGAAACAATAGACTTATTTTTCTGGTTAATTGAGTTTTTTGGCAGCCGATTAATTTATTTCACTAACAATTTTTTAAAGTGTTTTTGTTTGAAGAGCTGGTCTAGAAAACCTTGATTTATTCTCGAATTTGTTCGTTCTTTTGAATAAGTTGAAGTAATTAATTCATAGTTGAACCGCTTAACTAACTTGCTTAAGAAAATTTAACTTGTTGCAATACGGTTTAGACTTTGAAACAACTTGAAATAATTGAAAGTTATAATGCTTGGTTTGCTTGCTGAGGAAAACTTATTTCTGTCACAAACTGAGTCGCTTTTTGAAGAACAATTAAAATATTTTTTAGCAAACCGGTTCGTTTTTTGGAAACTTGAAATAATTTAACACTGGATTTAACATTGGAATGAGTTGAAAAGAACAACTTGTCTTTTTTGGTAATCGATTAGGTTAATCAAGTTGTAATTTTTTCAAAAACTTCATTGCTTGAATATCTTGCCAAGAAAAACTAATTTTTGTGCGAGTTGTTGCGTCTTTTGTACAACATGAAAAATTTTTTCAAAGTTTCATCATTTAAATCGCTTGCTTACATAAAGTTTGATGTTTTTGCAAAAGTTTTTGGTCTATGAAGAGCACGCTCAAAACAGTAATTTTTCGCTATACTGTGAAATCTATGAAAAAACTTCATCAAATTCGAAAAATTACAGCTCAATTTGCTGGC